ATATGCGAAAATATAATGGAATACATTAAATATTACATTTCCATATGGGAAACTATAGTGCTTATATTTATGCATAGCTATATATTGATACATTAAAAAATATATAGCAACGAATGCAATGAATAACACATATTCTTTATATTTTATCTCCCCTTTTTGTATGCATAGTTATACATTACGTATATGAAAATATGTGATGGTACTTAAGAAAAAAACTAAAATGACAATTTTAGGATTTTCAATATACATTGAATGATTTAATACATTGACAGTTATTATATAAGGAAATAAATTTTCTTTGCGTAAGAGCACAGAACAGAAAATAAACCTCATCTTTGGCAGAAGGGACACATTCTTCAACACAATCAGTATTGTCAGCTGAATCCACCTGGGATGCAAGAAGATGTAGAAAAACCCTGGATCAATGATAAATGATTTACATGGATCAATCCCAACTCATTTTGTTCAGTCTGAGAGCAGAACCAGAGAGATCCTAGTATTTCTAAGAGGTTTGTTTGTCTGTTTTGCTGTGTTGGTTGACAAAGGTAATGAATCAAATGAACTGACAACCTCTTGATCTGACAGATAGAGATAACTGTATACTGTAAGTACTCTAGAGCGCATGTTATTTCTCCTCAGGGACTAAAGAACCCTACAGCATGTCAACTATTCAATTCTGTAAAAAATAGTAAAATTACCCATTTTTATTCCTTAATCTCTCAAATTTCCCCTATAGCACTAAAACATTAAACTAAAACCCATGTATAAAGTCAAAGATATCATATTAATCAATAAGAACGCGAATAACAGTCTGAAGTCTCAAGCAATAGTAACAACGAATCAATAAAATCTTTCACCAAAAATAAATACGTTTATATTTCAAATAAATCAAAAAATGGGGTCTGATACCATAAAGATATTGTCGTCAGATGTTTTATTTATTTATTTACTTATTTACAATTCACATAAATCTAAGTTATGATTACCACAGATTCTCATTATTATATGTATAATGTAATATAGTCATATTACTGTAATAATATGTATATAGGTATAAAAAAATACCACAATATAATGATTTAAAAATGATTAAAATCAGAAAAAAATGAAAGCTTTAAAACAAATACTACCATTATGTGTAAATACCTTAAAAATCAAATAATATATTGTTTGGTTTTTTTATTACCGTAATGAAATATTTTGTGACCGTGGACCACAAAACCAGTCATAAGGGTCAATTTTTTAAAAATTGATATTTATACATCTGAAAGCTGAATAAATAAGCTTTCCATTGATGTATGGTTTTCCCTCCCCTTACAAGAACACAAGCTGCTTTTCAACTCCAAGTACACCTGAGATGGAGGCTTCCCAGAATGAACTCAACTTAAGACAACTTCTGTACACTTCAGCAGAGGACAGTCTTTTTTTCATTCAAGGCCACCCTTGTGAAAAAGAAGTACACTTAAGCATACTTTTAAAAAGAGTACTTATTAAGGAAATAATATGCTTTAAAGGGCTAGTTCACCCAAAAACGAAAATTAGCCTGTTATTTACTCACCCTCAAGTCATCCTAGGTGTATATGACTGTCTTCTTTCAGACAAATCCAGTCGGAGTTATATTTTATTGTCCTGGCATTTTTAAGCTCTATCATTGCAGTAGGCGGGTGTTTCTGTTCAACAGTCCAAAACACGTTAAATAAAGTGCGCGCATCCATAATAAAACGTCCCTCACGCGGCTCCGTGGGGTGAACAAAGGCCTTCTGTAGCGAATCCATGCGTTTTTGTAAGAAAAATATCCATATTCAAAACGTAATAATCACTTTAATGTAGCTTGCGCCAACAGTTATACACGGAAGCAGCTCCAGGAGCATGACGAGCATGACGTATGCACCGGTGAGTCTCGTGAAAACCAACGTTTGTTGCAAAGCAAAGTTTCCTTACTTTAGCAAAGGAGAACCAGTCTCCTCTTGGCTTATATCGAAATCCTCTGACATTCTTCTTTACAAATCCTCGATTTGTACTTCTAATTCATGAACGGCGTTTTGTTTTGATCTCTCCGCTGCGCTTCCGCGTTCGTCACTTCTGAGCGGTGCATGCACAAAGCCGACCTCATACGTCATCCACCCAGAGCTGCTTCCGTGTACAACAGAGAGCGCAAGATACATTAAAATGATTATTACATTTTGAATATGGATATTTTTCTTACAAAAACGCATGGATTCAATACAGAAGGCCTTTGTTCACCCCCCCCGGAGCCGTGTGAGGCACTTTTTATTATGGATGGATGCGCTTTATTTCACTTCTTTTGGACTGATACACTGTAACACCCGCTGAGTGCCATTAAACAGCTTGAAAGATCAAAGACA